GGCTGAACACATTCCCGGTGCCCGGGGCTTCTCAAACACTCCTGAGGGGCAGCACGGCTGTTCTCAGCCCGATTTACCCACAGGGGAAGGCAATACCATGCTGCTCCTTCCAGAATGGGGCAACAGCTACCCTTTTAAGGAAAAGATCTTCCCTGGTCAAGAGCCAGCAAGCTGATAATCCTCGAAGCCCAGGAGGGCTCAAGCACGCAGCAGTGGGACTACAGATTCCAATCTCCCTGGTATTAGTGAATGGCAAAGTGAGACTGGGGAGTAGAGGTGGTAGAAGAGAACAGTTCACCTTTGGCATCCCTGCTGTTCACACGGCCTGGTCCCCTTTGAAGGGCACTCTGGGGATCAGTGCATTTGGAGACTGGAGAAACCAAAGGAATCAGTGTGGAATTCACAGGGGTGGGTCAGCAGAGCTCTTAGCTACTGCATCTCTCTAATTACCACTTGCTCTGAAAGCTCGGGGAGCTGATATCCCAATAATACCTTTGTTCCCTCCAACACCTAATACTAGCAGTGATTTCAATAAAGGAGGAAGAGAGGAATCCAGTAAAGCAGGTATTCAGAAAAGTTCCAAGAAAGTTCTGAAGAACACATACCATGTACACAGAAAGGGCTACGCTTTTGCCATCTTTTGGTAAGAACATTTCACTTTCATTTAGGACAATTTAGGACACTGTTCAACTTGCACATATATATCTTACCTAATAATAGACAAACATGTAAATTGACCATACCTTTGCTATGCTAACCAGCCAATCAGGAGAGTATGCAAATTAACCCAACAAAGATGGCGGTTAATTTGCACATGTAGGCTCCAAGTGGTGGAGCGAAGTCTGATGGCCCTGGGGCCAGAGCAGGGAAGCCTAATGGCTCCGGGGTCGGCTCTGGCCAGAGCGAAGGCCTGGGTCCCGGGTGCCAGAGGCAAACCGGTGCCAGCAGCCAAGGGAAGGGAAGGCCTATTGCACGAATCTCTTCGTGCAACAGGCCTCTAGTATATGTATAAAAACACAATGCTCAAAAGAGTGCCGTGTGAATGACCTTGTGAATAGCACAGTAGTTGTACTATGTTACTGTGTGAATGACTTTTTACCAGTTACTGCCAGAGCCCTGAACGGCACCAAATTACATCTCATACAAAGCCATTCTGTTCTTCTCTTTCTTGAAGGAATCACCAGCTTATTGGTGCAAGAAACAAAAAGGGAGGAGCTGTTGGTTTGGAAAGAAAAGCTTCACCCATGGAGGTTTTGAATGAGTCCAAATTTTTTGCCAGGTAATGTTTCTTTGAATATTTTAAAGGCAACGGTAGCATTTTTAAAGAAAATTCAACATGAGGTGATTGCCTCCTGAGGAGATGTAACATTAGAACAAAACCTCTGCTTACCTGGTTCAAGGTTTTCTTTTCTTTGTATGTTTCCCGACTGCCTCTTCTTTTCAGGGAACTCTGAAATAGATCCAAGCGACATTCTGTTAAGGAGGGGTCACAGGGGGCACCCGCCCTGGGTGGGCACCATCCCCACTGGCCGGGGACACACAAGGACAGGGCTCTTTTTTCCCCACTGAAATCAAGAAACCATTTAGAGTCAACATTTCAATCCAGTAAATAGGTTGGTGAGGTCTTTGAATTCTAAAAAGCTTTAAATCCTAATTATTATATTTCAGGTATTCCTCAATTATTCAGTTTCATGAAAAAGGAAGGTAACTTAGATAATTTGTACTAGTGGAGGGGAGACAAGAGGAGGAAAAGGTAGGAAGTTTTGGAAATAGATATATAATATGTCTGGGGCTGCCTTATTTCCTAATTATGTTTTTTTGGACTAATATCAAAATTATTTGATGTTTCCTGAATGCCTAAAAGTAAATGGTCAGATAAAAAAAAAAAGTGGTAGAGAGAAAGGGTGGCTCTTATCTTTGGAGAAAACCTAATCTATGTTGCAACGTTCATGAACAAGCCCCAATTCATGGGTAAACCTACATCTTAAAGATCTAAGGGAGTTCCTAATATATTCATTTGTGATGTGGCCTTGGCCACAAATAAGTGTCCTTCAGTGGACTGGGTCTTGCCTACTGTTACATACATTACAGTGCACCTTTGCCTGCTATAGGCAAGAAGCATGTCTGAAATATAAACACAGGTATAAATACAAGGGCCAGGGGGAGGGGGACTCTGAAATGGAGTAACAGGGAGGCAGACAGTTTTTGCTCAGTCAAGAATGAAGAAAGAACTACCGGGAAGAACAGTGAGAAGGGGAATTTGAGTCCTGAAAGCATTCCTGTAATCCTGAGAAAGGTGGAAGAAAGCCGCTTGGAAAGTTCAGATTGCTGGCTGTCACTCAGACCTTGGCAAGCCTGTGAATGAGAGGACATGCTCGCTGGGGGCCGCCCCCTCCCCTCGGCAGCTTCGCCCCAACTGAGGCAAGCACCTGGCTCCTCTGGGAACGCCTCTGAAGGTGGGTGGGCTCAGAGTCCTCTGCCTCATTCCTTTGCCGCAGCCCACGTACCCAAGCAGCTGGGAAAGGAGGCTCTGATGCACGTCACTCACATAACTGTCAGCCTTAAGTTAATTAACTCAGCTCTGTTTACATTTTAAGTGTCTTATTCACAGAAGACTAGGCCATGCCATTTATTGGATGAAGTTTAGGGTTAAGAAACAAAATTCTAGCCCTAACTAGCTCAGTGGATAGAGCACTGGCCTGTGTTCTGAAGGGTCCTGGGTTCCATTCCAGTCAAGGGCACATGCCTGGGTCGCGGGCTCAATCCCCAGGTGGGGGTGTGCAGGAGGCAGCCAATCAATGATTCTCTATCATCATTGATGTTTCTATCTCTCTTCCCTTTCCCTTCCTCTCTAAAATCAATAATTATATATATATGAAACAAAATTCTAGTTTCCCTGAACCTTAGGAGGCCTGGGTCGGGTAGGGTGTGTGTGTGTGTGTGTAATTGAGTGAATGGATGAGATGCTTATAGAATCAGCATGTGAGTGGGCGCTCCCTGGTCACCAAGGGTGTGTGTGGGTGTGTGGAAGCTTGTCTCTGGTCCCCCCTGCAGAAGCAGCTTTATTTCCTTTAGGCTGTTTTGTAAAAGCAGCATCACACTACAAAGAGAACCAGTCTCCTCTGACGGGTTAAATGAAGCAAGTCTTAAGAAGGGCTTGAGCTTTCCCTTCTTAATAAGTAGGCTTTCCAGAATTATTCACGCTGCAGTGAAGGAGTTTCTTTGATTTCGATGAGCTGAGTGAGATAAACACTTCTGACGATTCTCTATAGAAAATATAGATTACAAACAGCATGTACTTTGTGGCTTCAATTTATAGCTAATAAAATATAAATATATGTATGTGTTATATGTGTTTGTTAGAAAAGTAGGCTATAGGAGTTGTATAAAAATGTTAATAATGATCATCTTCAGGTGACAGGTGATTTTAGTTTTTGTTTGTGTGGCTTTTCATAGTCTCCAAATTATCCACAATAAATACTGTTTCTTTTGCAAGGAAACAAAACAAAAGTAACCAGGATATGAAAATTTCTACTTGAACGAGGTGAGAGAAAAGAGGCTAGCACCCATCTCCCTACGTCGGACTGCAGCGGAACTTCATCAGAAGTTCTGTGCCAAGTTGTTGGGCTTTTTTCCACAATTAGAAATTGTTTTCATTAGCCCGGACCTTGAGGTATCAACTATATATACACAGTTCTTTAAAAGGACCAAGAGGCTCTCTAAGGGTTGGAGAAACTGGCCAGGTGACCTACTGCCCTGCAGGCCCCTGGCATATGGCTCCCTCTCCATGTTCCAAGCAGTGATGAAGCCGCTACCCTGGCGTGCTGTCTCCTCCCTGGCTCACCTGCCTATTGGCCAAAGAACCCTGGGTATAGAATGATTTGTATGAGCGTCATTTTTTAAAAAATATCTATATTTTTTATTGATTTCAGAGAGAGGAAGGGAAAGGGAGAGAAAGATAGAAACATCAATGATGAGATAATCACTGATTGGCTGCCTTCTGCACACCCCCTACTGGGGACCAAGCCCCCCCTCCTACCCCCCTGCAACCTGGGCATGTGCCCTGACCAGGAATTGAACCGTGACCTCCTGGTTCATAGGTTGACGTTCAACCACTGAGCCACAGCAGCCGATCTGTATGAGCATTATTTGTGGCCTCCTCTGGATGATGCAAAGATCCAGTGGAGAGTCTCTTACAAGAAACAATTAAGGGAAAGGGGGAAATGCAGACTATCAAATAAATGGAACCCAGAATGGGGTGTGCCTGCTGTTTAATTCTACTCTTTCTTTTTAGTCTGGCCAACTGCCAGAAAATCAATTCTAAATTCCTATGAAAAAGGGGGAAAATTGGATTTGTGAATCCAAATTGAATCCATCCAAGACTGATGCGTTTGCTGGGTACTGAATATGATTAAATAAAATATGAAGTTGGGCAATTATGTGGACTTCCATATCAATTCCTAATGTTTCCTATTTTAAGTTAGCCAGTTTCTTCTAAGCAATTTCAGGAAAACGAACAAGCTCTCATGGCTGAAGTGTCTTCAGAGAGAGGCTTTTTGGGCTTTAACGTTTTAAATTGGTAATAAAAGGAGGCAAATATGAATTAGAATGCTATACATTATGAGTCTATATGGAAAAGAGGGTATAAATGGATGATTTTCAAAATTCTTATAGAATCTCATTATTCAGAAAGTAGTCTGGGTTTTGGGGGGGGCTGATTTATATCACACAGTTGCGAAATCAGAATAAGAAAATGATAGTTCATAGGTCTTCTTCCTTTTAGGAGGAAGTTACCGAGATTCTTCTACCCATATTAAAGTTCTCATTTGGGTGATACAGGATGTAAAGAGTAAAAACTATTAGCTTCCCCTTCAGCTAGAAGCACCAGGTCTTGGCTGGAGGATGCCTCCTGCCCTTTCCTCCTCTTCACTTGCCCTGAAACAGTTCTCAGGGAGACTGGTTCCCTCCGCACCATAAAATCAGATAGCACCCCCCCCCCCCCCGAAACCAGCTGCACCAGTTACACTGCAGGGCCCAATACACGTAAACCCCCTCGGATTCCATGGAAAACCCTCCATGGCCATAAAGGGAAGGGAACCCGCCTTAGCTGGTTTGGCTCAGAGGATAGAGCATCAGCCTGCAGACTGAAGGGTCCCAGGTTTGATTCCAGTCAAGAGCACATGCCCAGGTTGCGGGCTTGGTCCCCAGTAGGGGTCATGCAGGAGACAGCCGATCAATGATTCTCTCTCATCATTGATGTTTCTATCGGTCTCTCCCTCTCCCTCTCCCTTCTTCTCTGAAATCAATAAAAAAAATACACACATATTTTTTAAATGGAAGAGAACCCTCACTCTGGCCCTGTTTGGGAGGGTAATGTGATATTATCAACTACCATTTGTTGGGCACTTACGTGTGCCAGGCACAATGCTAAACTCTTTCATTACACAACTAACTTAATTTAATTCTCACGAGACGCTGCGAGGCATATATTATTATCACTAACAGATAAGAAAACACAGCAGACATTAGGTAGTGTTTCAAGATGCCCCACTTTGGGAGATGGGGCACCAACCTGTCCCTGACTCCAGCTCTCGCTCCTGGTCACAGCCTCCAACCTCAGAGCTGCCTCCAAGCCTTCCACCACCCAGTTTCCTTATTTGGGCTGTTTTTCTTTTTGTTTTCTCAAGGCTTCTAAGCCCCAAATTGCTGAGTTTTCTCATCCAAAGAGTCTCTCCTTTCTTTAGAGAAAAAGCACAAAGAGCTATTTTAGGAATGGTTGCAAATTGCTCTGCTCACAAGATACCTCATGGCCGTGAAGTGCTTGTTGGCACTCTGATTATTTCTGAAAGGTTTGAGCTGCAGACAGCAGAAGTCCTTATTTGGAAAAGATATAAAACTATTAGCAGAGATGAAATACCACAAAGCAAATGAGGAGACGTGAAGGGAAATGATGTTGAGACACTTCGGCTGAAGAAGGCCACAGCCACACCATCCAGGCCATGAGGCCCACCTGGAACAGACCAGACTGCATACCCAGCCTGTCAGGCGGCACCTTCTCCTGGGAAAGAACATGATGATAAAACATGACAGGTCGCTGCACATTTGCTTTTCTTGGCTCAGTTTAAACCTTAGAGACATATATCTTGAGGCCCAGTGACTGGAAAATTGCTGGCTAAAACATGCTACAACACAGTAACCTCAACCAAACATGGTAAAATAAATGAAATGGAAGATGATAAAGTAAAGCTGTAGGTTATTCTTCGTATGCAAAAAAAAAAAGGAAAATCAGGACCATTGCAAGACCATGATGATGACTGCACCAAAAAAAAGTCCTCCCAAATTGTAGGAAACTCAACTCTTTTTTTTCTTTTTAATCCTCACCTGAGGATATGTTTTTATTGATGTCTTAGAGAAAGGAAGGCGGGGGGGAGAGAAATATTGATATGAGAG